ATATAGTTAGGACCTTTTTCTAAGTGGTCATTTAGACTGAGACCATCGTACCCTTTTGAGGATGAATCAAACACCAGGCGAACTTTGGTTGTCTTGTCGGGAGTGAAGACAGCTTGAAGGGGAAGATACCACTCTGGTTTGCTGTGATCAATTTGTTCCATTGGTACTTGTGTTACAAAGTCTTGTTCTAAGAGTTTCTGGACTTCTTCGTCTATAACTTCGAGACAGTTCTTTTTGCTGAAGTTCCTCTCTGACGAAATCATTCTTTTATAGGCAATGTCGTAGTTGCTTTGTTTTGGTGGACCAGCTTCTTTCCAGGGCATCCTTACTTGGACTCGTCCATTGATTAGTGTTGTTGATTTTGAGAGAGACTTGATAAACTTGTTCTCTCGAAGAGCTTCGTCACTACATGTGCAGAGCGCTGTTGGCTTAACTCCAAGCTGGTCTTGTCGAATTAGTGATTTGATGTCTTCTGCGACGCTTATTGTCCCCACGTCCACAGATTGGACGATTTCAGCTGTCCACATTGATTTGAACTGTCCAAGGACATACCAGCCAAAACAGTTCCTTTTGCCGATGGGTGCACCGGTTTTTCCGGTCAGAGTGTGTACATCGATGAATGCATCAGCAAAGTCCGTTCTTTGATAGTGTCTTCTTAATACTCTCTTCGTTTACTGGCATTATTGTAATGTCTAAGAGTTCGGAATCTTCTGATGTCGTGCTACCTCCAGCTAGGTTCATTCTTAAGCGGGTTTTGGGTCCACTCAGGTTAAGGCGTTTTGCTGCATTCTTCGACAGAAGACTAGTGTTTGATCCACTKTCAAGCATAGCAAGCAGTTCTACAGGTGTTCCTTTGTCATCAAGAGATTTTACTCTCTGTATTGGACAAAGCCCAGTGACTGTAGAGTTTATGTCCTTTTGTTTTTGTTGGTCGCTGATCTGTGCATTATTTTTGCTGGTAGCAGGTGACTTGGTAGGTGTCTCTTTTCTCTCGCTGTGAAGAAGACGATGATGATTTTTTTTCACATTTGTCGCATGATGTGCCGTCGGTTTTATGACAATCGCTGGTGTGGTGTTCTTTTAGGCATTTTCGACAGCGGTTGTTCTGTTTGATAATCTCCCACCTTTGGCTCACTGATAAGTCTTTGAAGATGGTACAAGCAGTTAAAGGGTGTTTTGTAGGGCAGCCAAGAATACACACTTCGTCCATTTCAGGGGCGTCAACAGCATGGTTTTCTGATCGTCGCTGGAACATCKTTCGTTTCTGTTTGTCTGCCTTGTCGTCGCTGTCTTCGTCGCGTCTCCCTCTTGAGCGGAGGTTTGCTTCTTGATGAAGCCATTCGAGCAGAGTCAAAACAGTTTCTGTTTTTTTCAGTCTTTGCATCTCGCGACCGTACTCTACGTTATCCCTCGGGTCCAGTTTTGACAGAAGCTGGGACATGAAGAATGGAGATTCTGTTGATTTAGTGACCGAGCAGTCATTGTCCTCCATGTCACTAACATATCTGCGTACATTGGTGCTGAAACTCATTAGAGATTTGGAGTCTCTCTTGATTGGTTTTAGATCGTTTATTTCTGTCAAGAGAGTGTCCATAAGTTTTCTTTTATCTCCGAATTCGATGTCCAGGATTTTCCAAAGCGTTGTACTTGTTCGTCATCATCTTGTTTATATTTCTTCATCCAGTGGTTGAATTCCTTTTTAAACGTAGCGTATGTTCTACGCGTTCCATCCCAAGAAGGGACAGACAGTCGTTCTAGCCCACTAGGACTGGATTTCACTTCAAGGGCTTTTGCCATATTTTGAAAAGCAGCGGTCATGGCCTCAAGAGATTCAGTGTTGTCAAATTTGCTTTCCACTTGTTTTGGCGTACTCCATTCTTTTTCGTAAATCGCGAACTTCTCTACTACATTCAGATAGTCAACCTTTATTCCTTCACCGAACTTCCGGTTAGCTATCGAAACTTCGTCGTCTGTAGACACACCTTCATCTATAAACTTATCTGCGATACTTTCAAGTTGTTTCTTTACTTTTCTGTATTTGCTTTCAACTTGATCAAATATGTGTTTAAGTCTATCAAAGTGAGGTTTTGTTGTATGAATTGTTTCGAATTCTTCAATTAACTCGTACAGATTGAGAGCCGCATTTTGAACTCGTGCAATTAATTTTCCTGATTCTAATTTCGGCGGCATTTTGTCGCGAAAATATCTTGCTTTAGATTTTTGAAGTATCAGAGCCTCGTTTCCATGCACTCCACGTGTGGCGTTGGTTTTCTAATCGTGCTTCTCAAATTACAAGTACGTGATGGCTTGCACATCAAGATTATAAAGCAACACTATTGCTCATGAAGTCAATATTCTACATTATATAGGAATAGATCGTTCATACCTCTAAAGAGTTCAGTTTCTGTAAGTCCTCTTGATTTAATTAACTCTTCATCTGAGTGTGTAAGTTTCAAATCGAGTTTGTTTTGAAGTCTTAAGCTTGTTTGTTGTGATTGGAAGCGGTTGCGATAAAAAATAATCTTGAGTAAAATGTTCCAAAAC